TTTAGCAAACCACCTGGAATGGAAGTCAGAGATGGGCCGAGGCATGTTCAGTTGGGCAGACCAGTTGACCCTTACTGGGGGTATTGTCAAAATGTTTAAACCTTTCAAAATTAAAAAGATTGTGCTTTTGAATTATATTGCAATGGCGAGCTCGGTAATGAATGCGTTCCCTTAACTCAATAGAAAGGCTGTTCCAGTGGTGGGTTGCTCTGACAGAACAAACTTGCTAAGTCTGTCTTGTACACCACAGCCCCCTCTGATAGGTGCTCGTTACCCTGCTGCTGCTATTCTTCTTTATTATGAACTGATTCAGTGTGGGAGGTGCAAACCCATGTAGAACCTTAGAGACAAGGCAAGAATCTGCAAAATGTTTAAAACTATCAAAATGATAAAGATTGTGATCAAAAACCTTCTTTACTGCAACCCAGCCCCGGATAAGCAGCAGAACATGGATTGATGGTTGACCTTTACTATTCTAACCTACTTCATACTTCTGTTGCACTACATTTCACAGAGAAACATGTGTACTTTTAATTCCACTACATTTATCTCACAGCTTCAGTTATTAGTTCACATTGAACAGAAAACCTATGATGAGTTTCTAAAATGATATATTGTTCAGGGTTTAACTACCGAGAAGTAACGTGTATAAAGTAGGCTATATTAGTTATTTTATCTCCACCTCGACTAAGTACAACAATGTTATAGTAATAATGATCGGATAATATAGTACATGATACATTAGCATTACAATAAAAGGCATCGTTCTGCAGCCGAGTACTTGTAGTTTTGATACTTTAGGTACTTTTAATGCAAATAATTTGAAACTTTTATATATAAATAATTTGGACTTCAGGACATTCAAAGCGGTTTTCTTTCGGTGTTATTTTAAGTAAAAAAACAACCTTTCCCACCACTGCAGGCATGAAGTTAACTTAACATCAGCAGCGCTAAGCTGCAACAGCTTTGCCTTTCTGAACTACACGTACAAATAAACATAAAAATAATGTGACAGAATAATCTCAATTTGAGGTTATTTTCTTCTGTCACATGTGCCAAGTTCAAGAAACATACATGTGAGAACAACGTGAAACACCATTCACACTGTCTTCAACAATCGTCACTGATGCACATCGGAGGTTTGCTGTAATGACTTCTGCTGATCATACCGGCCAAGAAAAGATCCTAACATGCTTACAAGCTCAGTGCTGGAGGACAAGATCTACACCTATTGTTTTGTGAAAAAACTCTAAAATGTCAAAGTAAACAGATGCTTCAGCAGTCAGCTTTAACTGAGGTGGGAAGTTGAAGCTGTGATATGCTTCTTCAGAATCCCTTATTTACCAGATTAGATATTCAAACAAGACACATAAATGCAGTTTACAGCTACAACATGCAATATTACAGCAGTTCATATTCAGCCTTTATGCAGATTAAATGAATTAAAAAATATTCAGCACTGAGAAAAACGCAGGCTTAACAAAGCAGTGAAAATAATGTCATTGCCTTAAATCACTGACATGCAGTTACACTGAAGCAATGAAAAGTATTGTTTCCACATTAACACATTTACACTTTATGATTATTATCAGAGATGTGTAACCGTAACATTAACATTACTTACTATTTTACTGAACATTTTTGTTCTATTTTCAATTGAAAAAAAGATTTCTGATGAATTGATGATGTATGAAAGTGTGCAGTTTGTTTGTACTGAACCTCATGAGAACAGTAACTCACAGACCTCTGAGGCTCTCAGGAGAAACATCAAACGTCCAGAGCTCCATCTCTCAGCAGACGGACGCACAGACGGGTGACGCTGTCAACAGACAAGTGAACAATAAGAATAACTTAACTCTGTATGTGACTTCATCTGAACACAAGCTCATTTAGACCTCACTAATTACAAAGTCAAATAAGACAACTCTTTAAAAAGCTCAACACGTTCACACAACATAACACCACTTCTTCAGATTGGCCTTTTTAAATGTGCAGAAACCTCGACATGGCTCATGAATGAGATCTCATCATCTTACCTGAGTGTGGATCAGACTCTGCTGCTCAGACACGAGAACTTCATCACGTCCACATTCTGCCTTTTCAAGGGCAACTGACCTTTATTCTGATGATAATGAAGAGTATGGTGAGACCAAACAACTTTAATTACACAACGTGACATCAGATCCCTTTCATTAAAAACATCAATTATACACACGATAGCAGAAGAATACCAAAGGGACCTGTTTAAGTAACCTCTGTGGTTGTGAACGAGCGCCTGAAGAGAAAACATAAGAAACATAATTGTCCTTGTTGCCGTGGTAACAAATGTCTGTTTCGAATGTTTATCCTCCTAATTAGAGATTCATTATTAAAGCTCTTACTTTCCTTTGATTGCTGTTGTGTGTGTGTGTGTGTATGTGTGTATGTGTGTGTGTGTGTATGTGTGTGTGTGAGTAGTCTTTCCTGTTGTTGATTCTTTGAGCACAATAACAGTAACAGTTATTCTGAGTCACAACTTTGAGATCCATCAATGTTTCTAAATTAATTTGCAGTTTCAGAGTAAAATAAATGTATTCATATGTTCAAAAATAAAGAAATTACACTATTTGACCAACTGAGGGACTTCAGATCCAGAGGGAGCGATGCAGGTTCCATTCTGGCCGTTGACCAGATCTTCAGCCTTGAAAGGTTGCTGACGTAGGGCTCGTAGGGGTCATGGGAGTTTGCCCATCCAGTCTAAATGTGTTTTACGGACTTGGATAAGTCTTACGACCATGTCTCCAGGGGAGTCCTGTGGGGGGTACTGCAGAAATACTGGGTACCAGGGTCATTGCTACAAGCCACCTGGTCCCCATATAAAGAAAAGTGAGAACTCTTTCATTCTGTGGATGTTGGCCTTCGCCAAAGTTGTCCCTTGTTAGGGATTATTTTTGTTATTTTCATGGACAGGGTTTCAACATGCGGTTGGGGATCTCAAAATTGTTCTTTGCAGACGATGTGGCTCTGTTGGTTCCTTCAGACGGATCAGAGTCAGTACCTCCAAGTCTGAAGCCATGGTTCTCTGCCGGAGAAAGGTGTATTGTTGCCTCCTGGTTGGGAGTTAGTTCAGCTTTAGAGATTCGGAGGGAGCTGGGATCAGAGCCGTAAACCAATAAGCAGAAGAAAATGGATGGCTGGATAGAAATTGGATCCCAACTTTTAGTTATCTAGTTTTACGAAATAGTTTATCTGTTTTTGATGCCATGTAGGCCTCACTCTGAACTACAGATTCAAACCTCACGGTGATGCTAGATGAAACGTAAGGGAATCACCAAAGTCAATAGGCTTAAATCTCTGGGGACCATGAATCTGTATACAATTTCCATCTCAATCCATGCCAGAGTTGTTGGGATATTTCAGTCTGGACCAAAGTGTTGGACCGACCCAAGCCATCCCAACCAAGAGCCAGACCACTAGCATGGATAAAAGTACAAGTGTGACCACAACAAACACTGGTGAAGTGGCATTTGCTCCAATCAAGACGATGAAATGTACTCTCCTGGGGGCAGTGAATAGACGCTTCAGCCAGGTTAAGACAGACTACAGCACTGGAGGGCATTTCCTTTAAATTAGAGGTCTTCAACAGGGGGTCCGCGGAGGTACTGCAGGGGGTCCGCGAAACTTGGTTGATTAGACAATTTTTTACATTTTTTATTTTTTTTCCCCAAACTATTTTAATAGTTCAGTATTGTATGAAAGATAACAGGTATGTTTTTGCATGGCAGTGGCACTAATAGGCCATCACTCATTTTTCGTTTCCACTTTATATGTTTAAAATGAAAACATCAGTTTGAATACCTTGTATGATGATTATCATGCTATTAACAGACAATGTTGATATTGGCATTGGTATCAGTTGGCAAGGTGTGTTTCTAAATGGCAGTGGCACGGCCACCCTACTCACAATATATATAGTCGGGGGTCCCTGCTCCATCTCTCTATCAGTTTGGGGGTCCTTGGCCTGAAAAATGTTGAAGACCCCTGTACTAAAAGGTGCTAATGCAACCAAGTTTCTCCCTGTGCCACCTGCACAAGCGTTGACAGTGAGACTCTAGGAACCATGCTGTCTGATAACACGGCACAGATGTTGATTTTCCTCAAAAGGAACCCTCACTTGGTTTTGAAGTAAAAGTAAGAATATAGATTACTGAATGAGAGGAAAACCTCCTGTAGCAGATCCAATAGAAGCCCATTGATAACTGATAATTGTCAAGAGTGCCTTATAATTTAATTTATGTGGATCGGTGTTGAGTAATGCTCGACTGGTGTGTCTCTCCGACTCCGAGCTCCATCTCATCCTCTCTGGTCTGTTTTTATCATTTCTTTGTGGAGCACAGTCGTTTACTTTATTAATTATATAAAAAAGACAATTAACTATTCAGAAACAGGATGTTCTTTCCTTAAAAAATTGATATTCAATAGTCAAGCATACACATTGGATTACTTTCATTTACTTAAATGTAATTGGAATGTGCACTGTACAGCTCTATTATCTAAGAAATACAAGTATGTGATCGGAACTATTGGGACATCTATGGTTGTTACATATTTGTGCTCTTTGCTGGTATAAAGATCAAACTCAAATAAACAACAACATGATTTTGGTCATTTCATTTTATAGTTTTACTAAACAAGAGTACTTCAAATTCACAACAAAAAGTAACATTTTGAGAAAACTTTAACAGTCATCTTAGTTCATCTTTCAGAGCAAGGAAAATACATACAAGTACGACATAACAAGGTCTTCCATTTAATCACATAAACACCAAACTACAGGACAGCAGGAGTGCATGAGATATTTTTAAATGTAAACTTATGTTTTGCATCAAATGTCACAAGTTACATTCCTACTTTTTACAGTTTAATTTGTTAAGGTGCGGGTGAATTATTGCGATTAAGGTCTTCATCATAGATTCACTTTGTTCACCGTTAAAAATAACAGAAGAAAACCGTCTCCAGAATTAAAACGATGGCGTAACTTTTTTCAGTTTGAATATATTTGACAAGCACTTGTGTATTTCTTGGGACTGCAGCCCGTAGATAACAGGGTTGAGGCTGCCGGGAACAACGTTAAAGAGAATGGCTGAAATCTTTCTGTACTCTGTGTACTGGGGGAAGCGGTGTAGGGTGATGAGGATCAACCCACTGATCAACATGATCAGATACAGGCACAGATGAGTGCTGCAGGTCTTCAAAGCTTTACTGTTCAAAGACTTGCTCTTACTAGTCAGGCAGGCTGCTGTGATTTTGGAATAGGTGATGATTATACTGCCGATAGAGGACGAGAGCAGGACTATAGTGAAAGTGAGGCCATAGACGTTATTAATCAACACACTCTCACAGGAGAGTTTAAACAGTGAGGCGTTGTCACAGTAAGGATTTGTGATCAAAGTCCTGCATCTGTTCAGTCGTATGGTCAGACCGAGTAGAATCCCGACCAAAACAAGTGCCACTCCCCAGGCACAAACTGTCAGCTTCATCACCATTCTGTTGGTCATTATCGTATTATATCGCAAGGGATTACTGATGGCCACATATCTGTCAAACGCCATAATCATGAGCACAGTGTGAGCGTTGGTGCTGAACATGTGTGTGGTGAAAGCTTGCATCAGACACTCGTAGTAGTGAATAAGGCGCTCGGAGGGGGGCACCAGGAGGTCCGCCAGCAACCGCGGAACCAGGAGAGAGTTTCCCATGACGTCGTTTATGGACAGGTTACAGAAGAGGAGGTACATGGGCTGGTGGAGGCTTCTCTCCGTCCATATCAAGATCACAATGCCCACGTTGGTGATTAAGATGAACACGTAGGCAAAGAGCAGAAATACGAAGACAGGGTACTTACTAGTCTTGGTGACCCTCAACCCCTCGAGCTGAAGAGTGACGCTGTTGTACGTGTAGTTCTCCATCTGTGCAATGCAAAAAATAAAACAAGAGAAAGGAAACCATTAATGACAGACATAATGAAAGAAATGAAAATCTAACAAGAAAAGAAAAAGATACTGCTATGATATGAAGGTGCTTTTTAACCTTTCAGTCTCAACAGTAGATGGACAAAGTACGCTTCACATAAGTAGAAGAATTGATCCTGCAATGGAAAAAAATACCATTACATGTAAAAAAATAAGTAGTAGCACTAAAGTGTACTCAAAAGTAAAGGCTGTGAAGATCAACTCAAATGTATCATTGACAGAAATAAGGCTGAAAGGAAATCTCAACAACACTTTCTCTCTGTACTGCTAACAACAGGTAGAACTTCTCTATCATTGCAACCTTTACATTTAGCAAACAGGTTGGTAAAGAGTTATTTTTCCTCCCATCATGATTTATATTATTTTACCACCCAAGACATTTAACATGTAAACCCTCCAACAGTACAGTCATGTACACGTACATGTTGCCTTGCAGGTATTAGAATCTTGAATGCAAACATTTGCCTGAAAACAAAGTTCCTTTTTAAACATCCTACCCTGAAACAATGTTTATGCTCCGTTACCAGCTGCACTGAGTTGCATGAAGAAATCTGTCGAAGTAAAGGTTAAGTCAATAAGAACCTTTCTCTTATCAGTCTTCAAGCCTTCTAAAGAAACTACTCGCATGAGTCTGATTCATGGGCATTATTTCCTCTGGGAAGACCTTGATCATTACGTAACCAAACATTATGTCATCTTCATGGGACTATTGGAAGCTGTCAACAAGCTTGTTTGGTGGAACCTCATCACAAACACGCCGTGTTTTTTGCCATCTTCTCATCATGTTGGAGCACAAAGACTCATAACATTTTTACCAACTCTCTTGGTGATGTCTAGAACATTGAACAACGAACATTCCTAGGATAACAATGACTAGTTGTAGTCGTATAGTAGTGGTTAAAAAGAACAAACTACACCATTAAATAAGAATTTCAAAAAACCAGCTTGTAAAAAACTTGTCTTTACAATTTATTTATGAGTAGAAAACCGAATGGGTATTGTAGTGTCCCTCCTCACAACTATTGCCTGACCTCCAGCAGAGGGGGAAGAGTTATCAATCAGGATTACCGACACTGCCAGCTCACCCAGATCTGAAGGGAACCAAGGCACACAACAGCTCAGTAACCGCTGGATAAGAAGGAAAGCAGGAGCCGTCGGAAAGCTTTGTTTACTACCCTGTCCTTATCCCTGGTAGTTAATAAGTGTTTTTTTTAGTAACTCCAATCTAGTTTCTCCTTGATTGCCCTCCTTTTTTTGTCAATATATTTGAAAAAGGTTTGTTGTTCTATGTAATACATACTGGTGCTTGCACAGTGCCCCTCGACGTCTGATACCCAGGAGATGGCTGTTTGTGTTCTGTGAGACAAAGTCAACATTGACTTATTTTACATAGTTTTGTTGCGTAACTTCCAGACTTTACTAATGCCAGTTACATATCAAACGTAGTTATTTTGACCCAAACCGTGATCTTTTCCTAAGCCTTACCAAGCATTGTGTTCATTCAATCTGCCTCAAACAACAATAAATACCCTTTGCATATTGTTTTAGATTAAACAAAAGTTTATAATCACCTATTATCATAGTAATTACATTATATCTGCAATAAGAGTCATAAGAATGACTCCGAAATTCTATCACTAAGTGGAAATAATTTGTAAATTTTAATGGATTGGCCTCTCGTATGGCGCAAGTTACTTTTGGTGTCCCACAGGGCTCCCACCTCAGAACTCTGTTGTTCCCAACCAACATTAATGACTTGGTCACTGCATCTTCATCTTTGTTTTCAATGTTACTTTTGCTGCTGATTCTGGCTTGTTCTTTTCACATAAAACGTTTTCATCATTTAACTTATCGTCCTGGTTCAAGAATGTGTCAAAAGAAATTTTAGCTTCTAATTTAACTCATCTAGTTCCATAGTGGTACTTTTTGGTCAAAAAAGGACTTTTGTTGAAACCCAAATTGCTGTATTTTCATTGGAAATAAGTCTCAAGTTGTCAAGATCCCTGTCTGACCCATTGTGTGTTAACCTCTGTTTCCCCCCAATCTCCTCTCCTCATGTGTCTGTCTTTCCCCTGTTTGTTTTGTTGTGCCATGTGCTTGGTGTTGTTTTCTCAGGCCTGCCTCCAGACACCTCCCATTGCCACCGCCCTGATGGATGCACAGCTGCGGACAATCTGGCTCGTTACCCAGCAGCATATCAACCCTGGTCTTGCAGGCCTGGGTTGTCAGTCCGTATTGTCTTCTGCCTCGGTAGCCTCCACTGCTGTTCCGTAAGTTGAACCCCGTTGTTCCTTTCTGAACTAATCTCTCTCCTCTCTGCTACGGGTGTAGAGTACTGGTCGATCTGCCTACCCTCCGGTGTCGAGCCACGGGACATCACACCGTTGATCTGCCTACCCTCCGGTGTCGAGCCACGGGACATCACGCCGTCGAGCTACCAGCCCTCCGGTGTCGAGCCACGGGACTCACACCGTCAATCCGCCTGCCCTCCGGTGTCGGACCACAGGCTCCACACCTTCACACACCTTCCTGTCTTTATTCTGGCTAAATAAAATCCGTTACATCAGACTCTGTCTCCTGTGGTCTTGCGTTTGGGTCCTATCCGTGAAATCCCGTGACACAAGTCTCACCCAGTTTGCAGTAAAAGTACAAAATGTAATTGTTATCTATAAAATGTATGCTAACGTACAGTTTACCTTCACATATTTCATTTCATTGTTTTGGCTGCAACTTATTCCACCAACCTTTTCCTTTTTTTACAGAAAACATTTGTCTGACTACTACTCAAAATGAACACTCAGCCCTGCTCCTCTGTGATATCAGAATTCTGTGTATTTTCTTCCACATATATATCAACCATTTGTGTTAATCATTTGCATTTGCCTAGACTTAGAAGAACTTTCTGTCAACTGGCTAGTGAGTTTTCTGTATGAGCTTATTTGAAGATTCAAGATGCCGTGAATGGCAGCCTCATGCGGTCCAAACACAACCTACTTAAAACAAATCTGCAAACTCTTTTAATTCACCGCGGTAGTTTTCCTTGTTTTTTTTGGTTGGTGTTTACATCGTCAGGCTTGTGTTAGTGAGATCTTACAGAGCTGACAAGATCGCTATCGTGGAGCACAAACATCCAGACTTCCTATTCATTGTTCCTCGGGGACCTAAACAGAACAAACCTCAGCAAACCTCAACCTGTAAATGTTTCGTGATCAACTTTAAACACTCAGAATAATTGCATAACTGGTTTGGATCGGAGTAATTTTGACAAGGATTGGCAGATTTCTGCAGACTGCATGCCATAAATAACGGGGTTAAGGCTGCCGGGGATGATATGAAACAGAATGGCAGAAAGCTTCCTGTAGTCCGAGTACTGAGGGAAGCGATGCAGAATAATAACAATAAACCCACTGATCAACATAATCAGATACACAACCAAGTGAGTGCTGCAGGTCTTCAAGGCTTTACTGT